GGTGTTTCTGAAAACTTGCTGGTCTTTGGGAGGATGGGTTTCACTGAACTTGTGCTACGTATAGTGCTTCCAGGAATCAGAATGATTGTCTAAACAAAGCTCTGAATGTTAGATGGTGAAAGGGCAATGCTTGTCAGCATGCTGACAGTCCCCATATATATATGCAGGTTGAAAATTTGTTCCCAAGATTTCAAAGTGTGCCCTTTTGAAGGCACGTGCAGTGAGATAGCTATTTAGTATGAGTTTCCTTAGGAACAATTTCCAGAGGAATTGTCAAATGTTGTCAGATTTGTGCTGCATGTAGGTAAAAATGTGAAAATGCAGTCTAGGAGCTTGAGTTATATCCATATTTATTCATCTGCCTATATTTAGAAGACAGCAACAATTGCTTTTGAACAAAGTCCCTTAGCAAGATACAGAGGACCAGTTCTAAGTTCAATCAATTAGACTGATTATTTCAGCTTTCATTTTAGTATGCTTTATTTATTACATGTCAATATACTAAGTTAATGTGATGATGTTGCCTTCATTACAAAAAATCTTACCCATGTTTGTAACTTCTGCTCTAATAAATAGTAATGAAAAAATAATAATTGTAATTGTTCATGGTAGATAGATTTTCCCCCAGTGTTCAATACTGGTGATTCCTACAGGCTTCTAAGCCAGGTTTTATCAATCTCTCTTCACATGTTCCGATGTTGAGTGCCTTTTCAGGGTCATGAATGACAAATAGTTGCTACCTAAAGTACTGTTAATCTGTTACTTTTATCTAAAAAAGATCTTTATTTTCTTGACATAAGTGTTTTCTGACTTTTGGAGAACGCTTAGGCCCCTCATAAATCTCCTTTTTAGTATTTTATGAAGTTCTTATGAAGATCAGCTATTGTATTTGTTGACTGTGTAAAATGTTTCAATTGCACTGATATGACATACCAAGGGTGTTTTTTCTCTGCGCAATATCTGCGGATTAAAAATGACAAAATTCCCCCCCTCTTGTCAATCTGCAGACAGTTCTGTGTCCATAAGGGCCCATTTCCCATGAGACATGCCTTTCAGTTACAGGTGAGGAAGTATTTCTTTTTGTTAATCTGGGGAACTAAAGACTTCCTTAGGTGTAAGTTTCCAGTGTTTTACCAATATGTTGCCACAATATTCAATAACAAATAAATACACTAGTTCTGTAATTGCTTCTTGCCTTCACCTGCATTGATTGAAACTGATAAAGCAAATCCTCTATCTTCAAGTCCTTATTCCATCTACAACATTCTTAGCAAATAAAATGTGTGCACTTCAAAATGTGAGACATTGTTGTAACCTTCATACTGAAACACAACTTTTGTGTTTCCTATTTATTTACAGCTGGCATTATTTAGAGCCTGTTTTCAGGTGGTTTAATATTAATTCCTTACTTTTTTCCTATCAACGCAGTTACTTTGAGCCCCATCCTTTCACACACTGGACTGTTTGGTATAATTTTATTATCCTGAAGGCTAATCTTTAAAAATACACATACCAGTGCTTTGGAACTTTTCAAATAGCTTTGTAGATTAAATTTCAATAGTTATAGGAATAAATGTCACATCTCAAGTATGAAAGTTACAGAATGTTTAGGCAATCAGAACATTAAATAGGTGAACAGATGCATTAAAAGCAGCATTTATATAGTTTGGCAATGGAAACATGTAACATTGCTGGCATAATTTCACACCTTTCAGTTTGAGCCTGGCATGTGCTGTTGTACTCAGCTGGTGTTTCAAGAGGTTTATTTTTTTTAATGGAAACACTGTTTACTCTGACATGTATGAAGCAGGGCCCCGAGACTGCAGATTTACAATCAAATCTGACTTTCTGTACAAAACTAATGAAAATGCCTCCTAATAGAGCTAGTGTGAACAGAAGTCTTCTCAGGGGAGCTGTCTGAATGAAGCTTGTTATCACCAATCGGTGGCCAGTTGGTTGTACCTTGTGCTGAATGCTGAAGTCAAAATCCTACAGGCTGTTTTTAAAGCAGAAACACACTATGTCCATTATTGTATCAGTCCATCTGCTTGAAATACAACAATACAGCAATTACAATATAAAGCCCTTTCTTCTTAATCCAGAGATTCCAGGCGATGCATAGAAACGCCTCACCTTTTGTAAAACCCCTTGCATAACTCTCCACATGAGCATTCATTACTGAACGTTGTTTTTTTTTTTTTTGTTTCGCTGAAAGAGCATGAAGTAAGAGCTAATAAAGATGATTAAGAGTAGGTAGACTCCAGACAAAAGGATATCTGAGTTCTACAAAGCAGCTGACAACATGCCAGAACTGGTTGGAAGCGAGATGCTACTCTATTGTTTTGATTTGTCCTGGAGCTCCTCATGTATGCCTTTGGACACACACAAGTAATGGGTGTTTGGACACTTGAGATGAGGGAGATTGGTGGCAGTCTCTGCTCTTAGTTGGTCATCCTGTCCTACTTGGTTAATGTACAATCTGTTAAGCTACCTGGCATGGTTCTTTTTGCTTAGTCATTGCAGCCAGTCGCTGTCGAAGGAAGGGATCAAGTTGCAAGAACAGAGTAAAAAAGCTAAAACTCATCCATTTTCTCCAGCGCTTTAGAAGAAAATAAAACCCATGCCTCCTGCTTCATGAAACCACTGCTTTTGTGACTCGCTGCTTCCCCTTTCACAATAAATTCTCTTTGTTTTCTTTGAAAAAGAGCCTTACCAAAGCGTAATACTTCCTTCCCAAGAGGCACAGATGCCTAACATTAAGCTTTGCCTTGTGTTGCTGCCAGTTTTCTGGGTAGTTTTTATTTGTTACTCTTTGTAATGCATGATGTTGTAACATATAGATTAATACTTAAACTAGCGTTAGTTCTTCAGGGTATGTTATGGACTAACTGAAGAGTAAGATGGCTGGGCCCACCGCTAGGTTACAGCCTAGCCCAGTTCCACTACACGACCGTCTTCCAACGCTCCAGCTTTTGCTCAGTTCACAATTACTCAGGCCTTTTTATGCCTAACTATGTTTTTGCAACAGCAAAGCATATTATACAACATAAATATGTTCTAGATTTAATATTTGGTTAAAAATATACTAGAGAATCTCATTTACAGGCATTCAGCTAGAACATATACTCAATCTATGCACTGGATAATGTAAAGCATTGGACAAAGACAACACAAAACTTGAAACATTTGGGAAGGGTTAAGTATCACATGTAGTTGCAGTAAATAAAAACAAATGTCACCATTATGCAAGAGTATTTTATTTTCTGCCTTAAACAAATAAAAACCCCACACTTCTGATTTGAGGTAAACCATTAGTAGTAGTTTGCAAATAGTATAAATGTCTCTAAAAATAAAATAGCAACACAAAGGTCATGACAAGATTTACGTGTGTCTCTCTAGACCTTCATTAGGTAGTTCATACAGTACCACTTTACACAAGCTCAAAGTTCAAACCACCGCACTCTTCATTTGAAGGCCCAGCGTAACCAACAGAAAACACCGTGACAGTGTTAGGGCTAAGGGAAAGTCATTCGTTCTCACCACAGATGGTCTCAGGCACTTTAACAGGTTGTGTCAACTTGTTTATGAAAGCTGCTGTTGTGCAATGCACTCTGACTTCCGATCAGTTTTGCCTAGTTTACACCTTCCCACTCAGGACTCAGCTCTTCATTTTGGTTGTATTGCCAAATTGAAACAACTCGGCTGAACAGCCAAACCAGAGAAACTAAATACAGGAAACTATACCAGACAGGCACCCAAGCAGAATCACCTGGACCAGAAACATGTTTATGAGTGATCATCAAATCATTAGTTATCTCCTTGGAATTTCTGAGAAAGTTTTGCAGAAGTATTTTGGATGATGAAGGAGCACATTTACATTTTTCCTTGGTCAAATACATTTACCCAGCCCCCTCTGGTAGGAGACTCGGTTACATACTCGGAACAAACCTAGTAATTAAGCATAGATGTGAGCGAAGTGAGCAAATAAGTAAAAAACAATTCAAAGGTCAGGTCCCCCAGGTATAGCATTGCTGGTTATGCATGAGATTGTGCCATTTCTTTTCATGGCAATGTTCCAAAGCAACAAAGGCCTCAACACAGAAATGGCTTACACCATGTTATTTTATTTTGTACAGGAAACCTGTATAAGTTACATCAACCAGTAACATTTTTCTGCTAGTTAAAGCTGCATGTACAAGAGCATTTGTTAATCATGCCATACCAGCAAGTCTGTTTTAGGCCTAGGAATCAATAGCAGCTGATCTTCCCTATTTAAAATAATTTCATTAAAATTCACAGAAGAGTTTTACTAAGAGGAAAAGTGAAGTAGTCCTGTCGAGTCACTTCACGGTATACCTGTTTTTTAGGGATGCCTAGTTATACTTGATATCTAAACCTTTGTAACACTTTAGACGTGCTTTAAAAGTAAACAAAGAATATTAATTCGTGCATAATTATGCATGACTGAATACACCAAGTATTCGTCAGTCCTTATTAATTTTGTAAGTATCTAAAAGTGATTTAACCCCTCAAAAATTATTTTCTTAAAGCAGTTAGTGTTTCATCTGTAAGCCACTAACTCCTTAAAAGCCAAATTATCTCACATAATGTTGGATTACATTGCACCACAAATGAGTATGATGCTTCACCAACAAATAAAATATAGTCCCTTTTCTACAGGAATTACAACCCAAGGCCCAGATCCTGCAGAAGCTAACACAAAACAAGATTTCGTGAAATTTGTGTTGCATATGCAAAGTTACTCTTGTGCTTGTGTCCACAGTGCTAGGTTGTTAATGAAAAACTGGATTTCAACCTACTCTGCACTAAATGGTGATCGAAAAAAAACCCAGTAATAGTCCTTTATTGCTAAAATTGCAGTTTACTTTAGCACAGACATTTTCTGTGCATACTTCAGATTATGCAGGTTTAAAGGAAGACAGACCTTTAGTAGTTTACCACTGAATTTAAAAAGAAACAATTCACTGTAACTCTGGACCTTTTACAAGCGTTGCTGCTCTTGCAACTCGTAAAACAGAAGTGGAATGTCACAAATGATCCTTTATGATTCAAAAACATATTGCTCTTCACTGCACGCTCTAGTCTTTCTTTGCATCCTGGGCATCTTTGTCTTCTTCATCAGAGTATACAGTGGGTTCCTCCCCTTCCTTCAGCAGCTTACCAACATGGTGATACTTAACTGGGAAAAAGAAAAGAATCCAAGTCATTATTCTGCCCTGAAGATGTACCTTTTTTAACTTCTATGTCTGTTTCCTGAATTAACAAGATGCCTATATTATAATAAAACAGCTCTCAGCAACGTGTTCCAAACACCAGGGGGAAGGAGAAAAGCTGAAATCAACTACCTGAACTACTACTAATGTTGTAGTAAACGTAAGAAAAATGCAAAATGAATGTAACTATAGTTCTCTTTCTATTGCCTAAGCCAAAAGATGAACGAATGTAAAGACACATGTAAACTGAGGGACTCATCCAGCTAAAGATGCAGAATCCTGGATTAGATTATTTCTCTTGCCAACATCAAAGCTAGGTTTTCAGTCAATGAGCTGTTAGAATATTTATGTTAAGCATTATAAAGGCATGCACATACATATGTGCACACATGTACACAATTTTCAAGGGGTTTTATTTTTTGTAATATATGTTGAAAATATCCAATGGGACAGAAGAGAGATGCTTTCTCCCAAAGATAAAGACGGATCTGTTATCCGATTAGGCAGCTAAGCCTCTGCCTTATTTTATATCTCTTTTTGAACGTGTAAAATGCCAAGACCATATACATGTAAGAACTGAGAGCTACGCTATCTTGCCTATCTGTCAATTTCAACAATGCAAAAGATGCTTCTGACTACAGGTATTTTGGACTAGCATTGTTGTTATAATTAATAAGAATTTGAAGCAACTAATTGCCAAGTTTACTACAAACATCATAATCAAAAGAGTGTGGTTTGCTGTCAGTCCTCATGCCCGATTCTTGAAAAAGGTAGATTTAAACACTAGTTCAGGTCAGATATTTGGTAACATAGTTCTGTTTTTTGTGATACACTTGTTAGCATCATAAAACAGCCATTCAGTGTGGCATGATTAACAGTCTTGATTAAGACAGGAAGAGTGCCAATATAGTAGGAGCACATCAGGTCAGGACTGAGACGTTCTAATGACATTATGTGGAGGAAAGCTCCATTCTAGCTAGTGATAGTAAACCTTTAATACCGAACACTAGATTTAAAAACAAGGGGAAAAGCTCCAAGGGGAAAAGGCCCAGTTTAAACAGTCTTCAAAACTCAAAAACCCCAGGAAGCAGTAATTCAAATGTTACTTTTATTTCTGAGAAGCTTAGGACTTAGGCTTCATTTTTCAGAGCATTAAAATCTAATAATCTCTATATATGGGGTCTTAACTTATTAAAAACATGCTCTTCATTTCTAATTCCTGTCAACTTTTTGGGTGGTCTTATAGATCTTATCCTATGACATCTCTCCTTTGGTTCTGAAAGGAGTAGAGGGAGGGAGAACGCAGAAGGAAAACATTTCTCTTAATTCTTTTGAGTAGCAGTAATTCTAGTAAACTGAGGTATTAACTCAAAGTAAGTTTCCAGACTGATGCTTCCAGCTGGTAAGAGCCTTTTAACTATTGCTTCCTTTACTACATGCTAGTTAGCTACTTCTTTGTAAATAGGTTTAAAATTGCTTACAAATGAATTGTGACTCCCAGTCTCTCAAGGTCTCTTGCTGTGTAGCGTTGAGATCAGAGAGATCATCATAGTCATCCCTCAGAGCCTCCTTATCCAGGCAGAAAGTGGCGAGACCTCTGGATGCATCTCTTCCAGCAAAAATCCCATACGGGCCCTCTTTAAAATAAAAACATAAGCAGCATTATTACAGAGCTAATGGATGCTGTATGATCTTCATGGATCAGAGTCCTGAAACAGAAACAGATGATGAGTTCCTCCCCTGACCTGTGGACCAGAGGTGACTCAAACTTCTGAAATGTTTTAAAGTTTTATTCTACTTGGTAATAAAAAGAAAATGGAGGAAGAGGACAAGAAACAAAACCATGGGAAGATATATTGAGTTTGCTGAAACATCAGGACAATGAACCACACGAAGGTGCACGGAACACACAAATGGGGTAAGAATAAGTGTATAAACTGGGAAGCACATCCTCAGAAACAGAAGGAGGATTTATAACACTGAGGGGAAATGGAAGTTTCCTAAGAGATGCTCCTTACTTAAAGAACTGAAAGGATGACTTAACAGAAAACGTGGTAGAGATACTAGAATTACCAACTTTGAAGAAACATCTATTAAAACTTTGAAAATGCAAGATGAACTCAAATGATCAAAACACGCAGCTCACAGTAGATCAGAGATATCTTATCAAGACAGGCTCTTGCTAAACTTCATTAACGATTAACTGGCTTGCATGACAAGCCGAAAATTGAGATATCTCATGTTGCAACTAGACATTGAAAGTTCTTCTTAAGGGAGCTTAAAGAAGTTCAATGTGACCTCTGGTTACTGTAGAGAGCATGCCATCTTCCACACCTCCCAGACTAAGCTTTTTCCTAAATTCATCAGAAGGATCTTACTTTTCCATTAAAACGAAAACCAAAGTAGCCAGACACTTTGACGAACCATTCAGCTGTTACCAAATTAGACACAACGGGCAGCTTTTACTGTAGTGAAGGAAGGTGGCACCCAAAGCATAGTCCCTAAGTCAAGCGGTTTTCAGTTGCACAAACACAAAATTGCACGTCTAACTCAGCTGTACATACCATCTTGACTGCTGCAGAATGCAAAATTACACTCCAGCATCATTCAGCGACAGTCTCCAGTCTACGTTTGGACCAAAAGTAATAATCTCATCATGCTTCCAAATACATCTCCTGTGCTATTCTCCTTGTCTCTGAGTAGCACTGGCAGCTCGCTACTGCAGCCACCAGCTGTCTGGGGAGCTCAAGAGTGGTTATGCCAGACAGATCCTGGTACAAATTAGCAAGCCTCGATGGGGCTTTTTAACAGGAGGCCTTTGTTAAAAATAAAACCCCATGCCCTGGTGGAGGTGATTAAACTCTTACACCTGGGTGCACATGCTCCCACCCACCTCATCGCTAGCTGCTCTGCAAGCCTCTGCACAGCTTATTCAATCTTTGGATAGGAAGCTCGTTTAATCTAACCTGCTAAGTATTTAGTATAAATGTTATGCAATAGACTGATGTCCACGAAAAGTTGGGAATGGAATGTAAACAGCTGAGAGAACACTTCGCTTCTGCTGCCCGGCATCAGGCAAAGGCCAACGAAGCCGCCCAACCCGAGAGTGGCACAACCCCGTACGGTACTTGCGGCCTATGTAACCTGCCCTGGGAAAATAAAGAGAATAATGAAGCAACGTCGGCTGGCAAAGCCGGAGTGTTTACAACGCGAGGCCCGACCCCGGAGCCCGGGCAGCAGCC